TATAGATGTTATGTGAAAAAAACTATTGAATCTGACTTAAAAATAATAATACATCTTATAAAACATTTAAATAACGTAAGCTTAAAAACTATATTAGAGTCTCATAAACTAAAGTGCTTTTGTTATGGATTTTTCAATAATGACGTATTTCTCTATTTTAAAATATTGTTGTTAAAAAATTCTTATTTGTTTTTGAGATATCGGTGATAGACCCAGCTTAATCTTGCTCGTTGATTTATAAAAAAAAAAACAGTTAAATCTAAGCTAGTAACTAGTGGTGAAAGTCAGCGTGCTTTAAGGCAAATTGTTAGAATTTCCCGTACCACAATTGAATATTCGAATAAAAAAATGTAATAATCAATAAATATAAATCAATGATTAATTACAGTTGTTTTAAATATTTTCAGAGATTACTATATTCGTATAATATATTCGTATTCCTTCAGATTAAAGACAATGACGATCTTATCACTCAAAACATTTGAAAATATTCACATTAAGAAGAAATGCTGAATGAATCCACCTGAGGATATATTTTTTACGAGTAGAATAATACACATGAAATATATACATTTTAAACTGAATTGTAAATTCAAAATTTATATTTGAAGTATAAAACTTTGTGTTTTTGAAAATTTTGAAAGTTTTTGAAATTGTATAAAGTGGACTTTAAAATTAAAAAAATTTGGTACGGAACCCAAAAAAGTTGTAACTACATTTGTTCTCATTAGTAAAATATCTGGTAATTTGATGTGCATATGTCTAATGATCATTTTTTGTACTTTTGAAACCGCTAGACTTGCCTACCCACAAATTTTATCAATTCTTCATTTCGTCAATACAAGTATTTTTTTTTTGAATCATTCAAATCGGGCGCTCCGTTACCTTTATAACTGAATTACCATTTTTGGCACTTTTTGCCGCGTATCTCCAAAACGGCTGGACTTGTCTTTGCCAAAAACTAATCAGCACTTCTCCCCAGGAATCTAATATTATTTGAATCATTCAAATAGGTTAATCCATGCGCCCGAAATTGTGAACGAAAAATTGTATCCAAACATACATACATACACACACAAACATACATCCATTTTTTCTGAGGTATGCCAAAATGTTCAGAAACCTTTGAAACGTAAAAATATGCAAAAATTTTCATTTTGGCTTTTTTTGCGATTGCTATAACTTACCCTACGGGAAATTAATGAAAATGCATCATATAAAACTTGTCAGCCTTCTCTGCTAAATGTAATTATTTTTATAGATTGCAAAATGAAATTAAAATAAAAAATAAAACTATTAAATAGAGCAACCTTGGAAATTATATTCATGTATAGTAAAGCAAACAACAGTTTACGAAACCGAAAAGACTAACTACAAAAATGAATCTCGTGATAGCAAAGTCGCTTGATTTAAGGTAATAGTTGGTTACACATTTTTTTTCTAAAACTGTATTTATTGTGTTTATTATAAAGGTGGTTGAGGATCTACTTGCAGGATTTTAAGCCTCGCTCTACCCTATCTTATAAAAATTTTAATAAAATGAAATTGCCAAATTTTTACAAATAATATTTTATAAATTTTGAACTTCGTAATATTTAAAAAATCTAATGTTTATTAAAATCATGCAACAAGTATCTGATATTTGGTTATAAAAGGAGTGTTTCCAAAAATTGTCTCCGTACATAACGCCATAGGTACATAACGCCTTGGAGGATACTGAGCGATTTTTCGAGATTTCTTCTAAGCTACAAGATACTAAAGTCCTGCCTCCTGGTGGCAAATGCAAGAGAGCGCCAGCTGAACCGTGAACGAGAGATATCCTGACACGGAATTACAACCAACAAACAGGCACGGTGAGGGCGATAAATAACGACCGGTATCTGATCGTCAGCTTCTGACCTCTTGCCTTATCGAATATTACATTATAGTCCGTGAGGATCCTAGTTATGCACACCAAAAGGGCAACTAGATAATAAACATAGAGAAATTTATTATGTGATAAATATTAACTCAACGAACGCCTGTTCAGGGGATACTATCGCATATTGAGTGCATGAATTGACGTTACTGGTGATCATTAGCGCGAGAGACTCCTGAGATAGTTATATATTCTCACTACATAACATTTTTGTTAAAAGTTATCTTTACTACATAAAGAGACATATTTCCTTGGGGCAAGTTGCAAAAACATCTCGATATTTATAAACTCCTCCTGTTCATTTAGAAAATACAGCCTTTGTTTGTACTAAAAACCAAACATTGCGGTTTTAAATTGATTTGTTTCAAATAAGGTTAATTGATAATAAACAGAAACAGAACTGTGCAGGTCCGTGATTTTTGACAGGTAGTGTAAAATTTACTATAATGAAATTTCTGATTCCATTATTATTCGACAAATTTTAAATTTTATATATCTTATTTCGTTCAAAATTTATTAAACTTTGATAATTTTGTGATCGCTAAATTATGCAATTAGTTATCAATGTAGAAAAATCACATCTGTGGTTAGTTGAAACAAAACCTTGGGACTAGTTGTATGAAACAAGAATTATATAAAGATTCAATTAAATAGCCGAAGAAGAATAAATAACTCTTAAGATGTGAGCATATGTAACTTACGTGGCAGGAGAGACTATATCTGTTATTCGTTTTATGATATTAATTGTAGTTTGCGATGATTCGTGGTAAACAATTATTGCAAGATAAATATGCTTCTACAATGTTTTTTTTTAATTAATTTACAGCTTGCATTGATATATGAAAAAAATTACTTAAAAACAAGTAAATTTTCCTAAAAATTGAGTAAAGGATAAATTATTAGAGGTATTATTATAATATCTCTGATAATTTATCCTAGCAAGTAGTAACGACTAAAAACGACAGTTATACTACGGTTGTCGTTTTATTGTCTTTACTGCTTGCTTCAGTAGATGGTACAACTAGCCTCAAAAACGAGGTAAGTCGTAGCACCGCACTTTTTATAGAAATTGATTAATTGTATAATAATAAACAACAGTAGAACAATTATTTTCACTTAATTCGGAAGTGGAATAATTTGCAACTATCAATTCTTATTTCGTAGATTTAATCATCAAATCTCAAATAATATTATTAAAAAAAACTGCCATAATAAACTCCTAGTTACTCTATTAAATATTGTTAAATGTTATTTTTAATAATTTTGTACTCCACATTCACTTGTATTTAAGAAGTATTTCTATGGCCATAATTCAAGTTCTATTTCGACTTTGTCATCAGTGAAACTTGAAAAACTTTTTGCTTTGTTATAAGTTTTGTCTGAATAGTGATTTTATACAAAAAGGATAGGACAGCATACTACACAAGATGAAGAAAATGTAGTGATGAAACTTGGTAAAATATTTAAAATATCGAATTTGATTTCACTAGACTTCATAATGCATAGACTCATAAACTAGCTGTAATATGCAATTATTTGCATAGTTTAAAATAGATATGATTTTAAACAATTTTGAGTTTGTCCTAATCCAGATACAAATAAACAAAAATATTTAATAAAGTTTCTATTTGTTAGTGTTAGTTTCAGTTGTAAATAGTTACAAATTATAATAAGAAAATTTTCAAATAGATTATTATAAATAAATACTGTAACATTGTCTAATATTTAGAAGAATTATATAAACTAAATTGCAAAGTTGAAAATATTTGTTTAAAGTATATTAGAACTTAAGTCAAAATTGCAATTAAAATCTGAATTATTTTCGATAGACAAAAAAAATATTTTTTGAAAAAAAAAAAAATTAAAACAAAAAAAATTGAAACAATTTTTTTTCCAAAAGCAATTGTTTTGTTAAAATAATTTTTCAAACAAACATTAAAAAACTGCAAATTTTTGCACATTTAGCTCTGTATCTCCAAAACGGCTGAACCTGTCTTTGTCAAAAACTAGTAACAACTTCTCCCCGTCATTACGAATTGAATATTTTTTGGATCATTCAAATCCGATGCTCCGATCTCTCAAAAACTCGATTTCTATTTTCTGCATTATTTGTTCCGTATCTCCGAAACGGCCGGACCTGCCTCTGCCAAAAACTATTCAGCACATCTCCCTATCAATAGAAATCGAATGTTTTTTGAACCATTCAAATCGGTTGATCCATGCATGTGAAGAAATGTGAAAATTTTCAATTTCGATTTTTGGACGATTAATATAACTAACCCTATGGGAAGTTAAAAAAATATATTTTGTGTCTCATTTTTGCTAGTAAATAAACGTCCATGTAATGAGCTGCCGAGCTGCACCAGCCTCTTTTTTTTCGATGTATTTAATTTTTGGTAAATCAACTGTTAACGGTTAACCTATCTGTATTTCATCATTTCATTGTAAAATATTAGCTAATTATTTAATTTAATATTTACTTGTGAACATATCGTGGATCTATATTTTCAAGTGAAAATGCATACTGCTCGTCATCATATTGTCTTTATGATTACGGAACAACGCGCTACAAACGAATGAGTAAGAATAATATTCCAAAAAAATATTCTGTTCGTCTACCTACGACTTCAATTAGCCCTAGTTGTAAAATTTATATAAACAGTATAAACAGGAGCTATGAATATGAGTCACAATTATTTCGGTAAATTCTTGAATCATAATCACTATAAATTTTGAAATATAAAGTTTCAAATATTTCGATACAATCGACTGAAAACCTAACTGAGAAGCTTCTCTATCAAATACAAACTAATACTCAAACTAATATACTGAATTAATAAAAAATTCAATCGAATTTAATTGAATTTATCAATAAAAATGTATTTATTGATAAACTACTAGATAGAATATTATATTGAAACTGATACAAATTCAGCTGGTTTGTTTGTAGGGTAAGGCGATGCACAAAGGTGCAATAGTTCATACTTTATAGTTTATAGTTTGGTAAAAAGTTTCAAACATAAACATAAAGAAATTGGTATTAAATGGTAACTCTAGGAAGTATTTTTCGTTCTAAACTCACATTGCACTCGAAGTGGCACAGGTTGACTTGCAGTTTCTCCTCTTTCGTTCGCTGCGAGACAACTGTATTCGCCGGCGTCGTGACGCAACACCCTCTGGAGGACCAAGGAGCGGGTGCTCAGTATGACGCCCGTCGACACGTTCTGAGTCACGAGACGATCCTGTAAATAAATAAGGAATGATTAGATGTTTGGCAATAAGGATGAAGTTGAATTTATATTCAAAATAAAAAAGACTAAGAAAAATTGAGTCAAAATGCAAGCTCTATTTGTTTGAGAAGAATGAAATGAAATTTGACAATTGTTCCCCATGATCAAGTATATATTTTCGTTCACTTTTGTTTGTATATAACACATTATAATATTCGTATCCAAAAGTTAATGTATTTTAACCTCATAGTGAAGCACAACGCTTAATTGAATCTCACAGTGTGGAACACAAAAAGGATTATATCAAACTATACATTTTTGTTGTGAAAAGCACACCTTTCTTTTAGCATTCATTAATACAATTTTTTGTTATGTTATTAGTTTCAGTATGGATTTTTTAATATGTATGTTAAATTTGTTAATTGTTTAGATTTATTTGTGTAGTCTTTTATAGAAAACTTTGATTAATTTTATTATGAAAACACTTTTATTTTAATAGATCGATGATATTTTAATGATTTGTTTTTATCAGATTGAACAAAACATCTGATTTGAATGATTTAGAAAACATTTTGTTTGTGTTGACCGTATAAAAAACGATTTTGGAAAAAGCAAAAAAAATTTATTTCAAAACTTTGGAATATTTTTAACTTCCCGTAGGGTAGAATAGTAATGACCCGAAAATCGAAAATGAAAATTTTTGTATTTCTCGACGTTTTGAAGCTGTCTGAATATTTTGGCGCACCTTAGGAAAAATGGTTGTGTGTGTATGTATGAATGTAAACAATTTTTCGTCCACGTTTTCGGGCGCACGGATCAACCGATTTGAATAGTTCAACAAACATTCGATTTCTGTTTATAAGGAGATGTGCTGATTAGTTTTTGGCAAAGGCAGGTCTACCAGTTTCGGAGATACAGAGCGAAGAATTCAGAAAATAGACATTGAGTTTTAGAAAAAACGAAGAATCCGAATTGAATGATCGAAAAAAAAATTACAATTGAAATGCTGAGGAGAAGTGATTAGGTTTTGGCAAAGGCAAGTCCACTCGTTTCGAAGATAAGGAGTTAAGTGTACAGACGATGGCAGTTTTTGAGAGAATTAAGTATCCAATTTGAATGATGATTATTTGGCAAAAGAATTTTTTTTCAATATTTTTGTTCTTTTAACATTAACGCCGGTGCATGCAAAGTATGTAGTCTTAAATTTCTTTTTTTAAATCTTTGATTAACTTTTATTATGAAACCATTTTTAACAGATCGACAATATATTTATGGTTCGTTTTTATCAGATTGAACGGAGCATATAATTTAAATTATTTAGAAAACATTTTGTTTGTGGTGACCATGTAAAGAAACGATTAGTTTTTGGAAAAAGCAAAAAAAAAATATTTCAAAACTTTGGAATATTTTTAACTTCCCGTAGGGTAGTTTAGTAATGGCCCGAAAATCGAAAATGAAAATTTTTGCATTTCTCGACGTTTTGAAGGTTTCTGAACACTTTGGCAAACCTCACAAAAAATGGATGTGTGTGTATGTGTTTTGTATGTCCGCATTATTTTGTCGACGTTTTCGGGCGCACGGATTAACCGAGTTGAATGGTTCAAAAAGCATTCGATTCCTATTGATAGGAACATGTGCTGATTAGTTTTTGGCAATGGCAGGTCTAGCCGTTACGGAGATAAGGAGCAAAGAGTGCAGAAAATACAAATAGAGTTTTTGAGAGTACGGAGTATCCGATTTAAATGATCCAAAAAACATTACAATTGTAATGCTAAGAAGAAGTGGCGATTAGTCTTTGGCAAAGATAAAAATAACAGTTTCTGAGAGAATTAAGCGTACGATTGGAATTATGATCTTTTGGCAAAAGATTATTTTTTCAATACTTTTGTTCTTTTTTTTTTAATTCACAAAAAATATTTTTGTCAATACATAAGCTATTTTATTTAAAGATAAAAAAATTAATGAAAATAGCAGCATTTATATTAATCTATTTGAAAACATTCAATATTCCTCAAATATTTCATTACGATACGGGAAGTTTCAGCAATATGCCTTAAGGCACGATGCCTAGTTATAAATTTTTTTGTTATGTATTTTCATAGTATTGTACTTTATTGTACCATACAGTACGTGCGTTGAATTTATTAATTGTCATGATTTTTTAGTTAGATTCATTATTAACGTCGACGCATAAAGAAACGATTAGTTAGTCTTTGAGAAAAGCACATTTTTTTCAAAATTTTAGATGTTATTTTTTGGATTTTGAGAATGATTGAGATTTTAATTTTAATTCCAGATAAAATTCTAAAGCTCACTTATATACTTTAAATAAATAATTTCATCTTTGCGATTCAGTTTATATAATTATTAGAAATATGATCCTTCATTCTAACACTGCTTTATTAAGTTTTGTCATAAAAACTTTATTTTTGTTTCTCATAAAAACATATATAAATGCCGTCGTCCAAAATAAGCTCTAATATTTTTTCTATTAAATAAGAATAATGAAACTTACAGTATTAATAATAATCTATTTGAAAACATTTGATATTCCTCAAATATTTAATTACGGTGCCGGAAGTTCCAGCAATTTGCCTCAAGGTACGATGTCATGCGCCACTAGTTTTTAGTTATATTTTAAAATTTGTACATGGAATTTTTGTTATAGATACAGTGAATAGATACAAACATGGTTTATTGTGGTCCCCTATCATGTACCCCCATTTTCATACCTTAGACCCCAGATTTTCACTTATTGATACGGATTCCCGGAAAGCTGACAAGGGCTTCTGAGTGTCCATGTAGACCACTTTGAGCAACATTTTAGACCCCAAACAAATTTATTAAAATATTATAGTGAAATTATTTTGAATATTTAATTATTGATAAAATTTGTTTAAAAGTTAAATTTAAATTGCATTGATTGATTTTCTGTAAAAGCGAACTTATTCTTGAAATAATCAGTTGGAAATTTTAACCAAATAGCTAAATCTCAATTATATACAACAGTTTTCACAATTTGCCTGTTTTGTGATGTTTTCAAAAAAACAACAGGCGTTTGTAAACTGTTGTTTGTTGATGTTTCATTTATTTTTATAATAAACCTGCCCTTCACTCATTTTTTTGTACTTACTAGAATATTTTATATGATTCGGCCTAGAATACCTTGGATACATATGCACATCAAAACTAAAAAATCAAAGGCAAAATTTTAATTTAGTAAAACAGTATGGAGTACGACTATGTGATGATAGGGATTAAATTTTTACGCATAACACCACATATAATATCTCTATAAAAAGCCATAGTATTTTGTGTACATCAGCACGATCCGTATTGTGCACGAACGGCTCTTGGGAAATTCAAAGAGACTTTGTGGAAACATTCGGTCGGTCACCGTAAGCCTTGCGGACTTGAAATAAAACAGACCACAAATACCGAACGATATACCACTGTACCCTTGTCCTTTCATTTTGCCCGTATTACTGCTTTCGAAATATTCGTAAATAGGTCGTGTGTATTTTCACTCGCGAACTAACATTTATACTTGTAAGAGAAAACATCAAAGTAATAACGTAACGAGACCTGTGTGTACTTAATTAAAGTACGACCTAGAGAGCTGCATATAACTTTTCAATAAATCTATTCGTTAATAGAGCTAACGTTTCGCCAAAAGAGCTTTTGCAAGTTTTCATTAACTTGTTCGGATTTCAAGTCTCGCTATGCAACGATACACGCGTGCTTTTGCCGCAAGTTCGAAGCTCAGCACAGTTTTTGTAGGCAGAATTTCTGGGAGCATCCTCAAGTACTCAACTTTTACCACAGATAATATATATTATAAAGCAATTTAATACGACATTTATAATTAAGACTCACTCGAGTGTTTTGCAGACTTTTAAGACGCATTTGTTTATATAGGATATTACTTTAAAAAATTGTGTGTAAATATGACAAAATTTTGGTATTGATTTATTGAAAACAGAAAATATTTAAAGCGAATTAAATCTATGTTAGGTTAGAATATATTAAACAAAAATGTAGTTAATATATTTAAAGTTCAAATATAATTATACTCTGAACGTTTCGGAGACATTTTCATCGCACACGATTATATGATGTTATGTCAAGGTCTAAAAAACAAGGGCAATCTAAAATGTTCAATTTTGTCAACAAATGGAATTCTTTTGTTGTTGGGTAAATAAAAAAGTGAAAGGTAATTTTTTTTTGAAAATCAGAAAATAACAAATTTATAGAATGTTGAATCAGCTGGTAGTTTTACTGAATATAGTCAGATACTTGTTTATATGATTTTCGTTATTTGTTGTAATGTAATTGGTTTTGTTTTCACAATATTATTTTTTAAAGTCAAAGTGGGCCATTGTGCACCGCACTACACCACTTGCTTTACAAAAGCAATGCCCAGTATACACTAAATGTTGTATCGAGTAAAATAAAATTCTCAAAGCAATCATTTAAAATTAACTCAGTTTTATAATTAAACAAACTAGTGGTGCAAGACACCAGAATTAAACAGCCGAGTTAAAAAAATTAATAATATATATTGATCAATGATTAATAACAATTGTTTTTAACATTTACAAAGAGATACTTAAAATTATAATTTTATGAAAGATAATTTCCATCTGTATAAAAATATATTGAAATTTATTCATTATAAAACTATAGAAATGTCATGACCTTTTGTTTTATCAAAATTCAAAGCCAACTGATTCCCACATTTGTATATTATATCTTCTATATATATAAAAATAATTCGGGTTTTCCTTCCTGACGAAATAACTCCAGAACGCACGAACCGATTTCGACAATTATGCATTCATTGAAAAGGTCTCGGGCTCAGCAAGGTTTATAGCTAAGAAAATTAGTTGTGCATGGCATCGTGCCTTAATGCAAGCTACTGAAACTTCACGCACCGTAATTAAAAATTCGAGTAATAAAAATAATAACTGTTTTAAATAATTTCAAATAGATTATCTTCTATATATATAAAA